AAAAGCAGAAAGCAGTCGCACCAATGCCTTGGCAGCGCCCCACCTCAGGCTTCTGACCCCCAGAACTACAAGACAGAAGTTGGGGTTATTTTAAGCTGTTACACTGTGACTGGTTAGTGCATCCTGTGAAGCCACATGGCCAAGCTAACAGAGCAGAGGTGGTACTTGCAGACTCTGACAAAAAGAGTAGAACATAATAGAAAAGGAGCCCACTGTTGACCGAGGTAAGCTACTCAGGGAGAAAGGTACAAGGTGATAAGAGGCCACAGTAGAAGCCCTCTGCCATAAGGAAAAGGGGCATGCAGACAGGACCCATGGCTCCAGTCACCAGCTCCACAAAGCCACCAGCCCATGATGAGCTACGAAGAAAGCATCCAACGTAAGCCCACCTAAGAAAGCACTCAGGGCCTTTTGGGTTTTCCATTCTTTGGTTTTCCTTGAGAAAAGTTCTGGGGAAAGCTGGCAAAAACGGTAGCTTCCAGAAGGGGAGTTGGACATGCCCAGTTCCTGGTTACCAATCCACTCACTACATACCCTTCCTGTGCGGCCACACTAGAGAAATCAAGGCACGCTAAGTAGGAAGCTTTGGTTCCATTCTGCATCATGTTAGAAGCCATTTGCAGCATGGACCAGAATGTGCCCAACTATTAGTCAAAGAAGTCAATGGGAGGCCAGGGTCACGTGCTGGACACTAGAAATACAGTCATTCTTATGTCATCAGTGATGGGGATGTTGTGGCAGAAGCATGAGAGGACAAGATGAGCCACTCAAGATGGCTTCCCCAAGGAAGGAACGTGTTCGCTAAAGTAACTAACTGTTAAAAGCAGCTAGATATGGCAGCTGGCTGTTAAAAAACAGCTAGAAGTCTCAGGGTATTTATCTGCATGTATGAAATGCTCTGAAACCCAGAGGAAAGGTATAAAAAATGATAGCAATGAATATAAATAGCCCTTTATGGTTTATAAAGCATTTTTTCATGCACCATCCCAGATCCGACAATAGCACCAGAGAGACAGTATGAGGAGTAGCATGCTGTCTTTTATAAATGAGGAAGCGGAGATTAACAGCCGTCAGCTGCTTTGCCAAGGTCACACATTAAGTCAAGGGAAAGATTCAAGCCCAACTCTCATTACTCCTTGTTGAGAGCCCTCTTGACTATACTGAATGCCCTTCCCAAGAAGACTACAGTGAAGTGGCAGGGACTGGTGTTGATATCTGGGGACAAAGGACACAGGGTAGTTGGGCATCACATTAGACACTGGAGATTCAAAGACGGTCACGGCAGGATGCGGTCCCTTCCTCCAGGACCAGACCTCTCAGAGCTGTGACAGTCACATCTTAGAAGCCATCCAGCTGTGGTGCCTGTCATCACTGGCTTATCTCTCTGCACTCCCACAAAGCCTTTCCGGTCTCCCATACATTGGGTTTAATCTCCCAGTTGCACCCAGGCTTTCTTAGCTTCTTTTCCCTTTATTAATAATGTACAGAGTACATATTGCTGTGTATTGTTGGTGGGATGCAAAATGAAACCATTATGAAAAGGGTGTTGGAGGTTCCTTGAAGAATACAGCTACTGCCAGGCACAGTGGCATGCCTATGGCCCCAGCTACTCAGGAGGCTGAGGCAAGAGGATCATTTATGCCCACAAGTTCAAGACCAGTCTAGATACCATAATGAGATACCAGCTCAAAGATGTAACCTACCATTATGATCCAGAAATCCTTTTTCTGAGTATATAGACAAGAAAAAAAAATCAAAGAAAGTTCTGAAAAGGATATTTGCACACCCACGTACTCACAGAACTATTCACAATAGCTAACAGAAACAAATGCCTCTCAGTAGATGAAAACATAAAGAAAATATGCTCTGTCCATACAAAGTAATACAAGGAGAGCTCAGAAATGAAGGAAACCCCAACACTATATAACACAGATACACTGTGAAGGCATTATGTCAATACAATGGGACAAATACCACATGGTTCCATTCTTATGACATTTTAACGTAGTCAAAATCATAGAAACAGAAGAGTAAGAAGATGGCCACCTAGGGCTGAAGAGAGAAGGGAGCATATTTAATACAGTTTCAGTTTTACAAGAAGGAAAAAAAAGACTAGAGATCCTAGATGCAACTGTAAGGATACACTTAACTACTGAACTGTCTGCTCTTAAAAAGAAAAACCTAATGCTATGCACTTTTACCATCCACTTCTTAGAAGCATTTTAAAAGGAGAAAAATAAAAGACAGGCATTATAAGTTCAAAAAGAATATGGAGAAGGTAGGAAAGCAGAGGAAGAGGAAGAGAGGGCAAAAGAAGCATGTCAGTCAATGATGTAGTCCACACCGGGACACTGGGCTGGAGACGAGCAAGAATGCACCCTCCGACTAGAGCCCCAAGTCCAAGAGGACTGAGGACGGTGTTGGGCAGAGCCCTTCACTCCCTGCATGCATCCCTTGCAAAACATAAGTATCTCTACTGCCACATCACAACACAGCTCTCCAGAGAGGACCAGGGATGAGATCTACAGAGTTTAGCAATGATGGGCATGGTGACTCACACCTGTACCACAGCACAAGGCAAGGAGATCTCAAATTCAAGGTCAGACTAGGCTACATAGTGAAGCTCTATCTCAGGAAGGAAGGAATGACAGAAGGGAGGGAGGGAGGGAGGAAGGCCGGCCGGCCTTGGCAAGGCACTCATATCTCACCTGTAAGCCTCTGTGGTCCTTATCAATATCTGTTCTCAGGACTACCTACTTTTCTGGCCAAGCCCTGGGGTCTGGGGCTTCTAAGCCCAGCAGAGCACCCAGCAACCAAAGTCTGCAGTGTCCTATCCAGTATTAGCTTGGCACCATTCAACATAAAAGGACAGTGTCAGCTATAGTCCTTTACACAGAAATCCCATGCCCTAGTTCTTGACAGCTGTAATTACAGCCCAAACAGCTTTTGAAAGGCAAAGAGAAAGAAGAAAATAGCTGCCTGGACCTAGCAGTGAATTGTGGGGCGTGGGGGGAAGACACACAATCAGAGCGCTTGCTACTAATGGCAGCCAGTCCACACAAGCCACTGGACAGCCAGCCCAAACAACTTTCTGACCAATTAATTTCTCCCTCTAATGTAATGAGCTGCTCATTAAGCGCTGGAAGCAGCTCCCACAGAGGGGGCTGTAGGAAGAGACATGAGGCTGGAACAGCTCGCAGGTAATGAGGGAAGAGGAGCCTGCCACATTCCAGGTCCAGATTCCTGCAGATCCCAAGACCAACTACTGCCATACCGTGCCTGGCCTGTCCCAGCTTCCAGGTAATGGTTTCTCATGCCTCTGCCCATTTTAAGTTGTGTTTCTACTGCAGGCCTTCTTTCTGGGAAAGTGCCATGTCCCAGTCCTTTGGTTCCACCCAATTAAGATCAAGACTCACAATCAGCATCCCAAGGAACCCTCAGCAGGGGACCAGGGGCCACAGCATAGCCTGAGTATGAACCCCCAGGCTGCCTGTGGACAGTAACCTGACCTGAAGTACTTAGCCGGCCTTGCATTCCAGGTCTCACCCATAAAACGTACTAACAATATCCTCACCTCATCTAAAATAGCTATAAATAATAATAAAACATATTCAATATCAAAACATCTAAAAGAGCATCCAGCACGGAAGCAACAATTACTGTCGGTAAAGATAATGCTTTCATGATGACGGTGACATCACCATGATAGCCCATCTCTGCCCCATCACTCAAACGTAAATAACAGAGAACTTGGGTGGACACCGAGTATGGGTGGCTCCAGGCCCAGTCTTTCTATCACAGCAGGGAGCACGACACAGGGCCTTTGCTTCTTCTATCCATGTAGGAGGGCAAAGGAGAGAGTAAAGAGGCCCGAAGTACTGAGGCCCAACCAGCAGCCAAAAGGGGAGTAAAATGTACAGCTTTTCCATGAGACCGAGAGGAAGCGATAGAATGGATTCAGGCCACAGGTGCGCTTCTCAGTATTTCTTTGAGCTTCAGGTTGATCTAGAAAACGACATGGCATGACCCTCTGATGCCGTGACTATTCAGCAGAAGTACTCTCATGAAAGTCCTTCAAATTTCCTTATTATCAAGTACTGTTATACATAATAACAGTCTTGGTAGAGTCAACTTGGTAAAGATGACCCACGCAGAGAGCCAACTGCACACAAGTTTACACTCTCTCCAACGCCGATGTCATTGAATTGAGACTTCTGTTGACAGGGTAAAGAACCAGCTCAAAGCAGAAAATGGAGTTCCAGCACCTGTTTATGTTTTCCGTTTAGGTGAACAGATCACTCCAAAGAACAATGACACAAGCCAGGCTGCACCCAGAGATGACCAAGCCAGCTGCCTTAACACCACCTCACTCCACAACACAGTAAGAAACAATACACCCGAGCAATCCTAAACAAACCTCCAAACGCACGGTTCCGTTCTGGTGCAGAGCTCCATACCCAGTTCCTTCACAATCCCTGCTCCACGGACCAGAGTCAGAAGGCAGTGGGTTGCCACACATACCAAATTCTTCCAGGTGTCGCAGGAAAGGGAGGAAGGGGAACACCGAGCTTACACATCCTGAAGTCTCAAGCAGCTGACCAAGAAGTTTGTTGGAATCTCATAACCAGTCTTAAAATAACAAGTAAATCTTCTATCCTGTACCATAATAAATTACCTTTATAAAATGTTTTGATTACTAGTTGCTTACTAAACTTTTGCTCTACGTTTACCATTCTCCTTTACTAGCCAACCACGAAGCACGAGGCTCAGTTGGAAGCGCTGCAGGACACGAAAGAGGGAGGATGCCGCTGCTCGGCCATCACATCCGTTTCAACCTTTGGCCCTAGTTCACAATAGTTTCCCCAAAGATACGGGAATACGGGCTCTGGGGCCTGGAAGGGGAAAGCCATCCATTCTGGCTCTCAGCTCTGGCTGAAAGGGCCCGCAGCAAGGAAACTTGAGTTCCAGATTCGCACGAAGCCCCACCTCTGACCACTCACCCGGATTCTGCGCATGGCAGCCACGATCTCAACCCTGCTGTTGGGTCTGGGCACATCCAGGCTTCCCACGTACTGTAGAAAAGAAGCAAAGAGAGAATGAGAGGAAGGGAGGGGCAATGTCCCTAATCACAGAGTATCAGGGGTGCAAAGACTTTGAGGCCACACGGTCTCTCTCCCCATTTTACAGAGGAGGAAATTAAAATCCCAAGGGCTATCATCTCCTTTTGAAATCGTTTCTAGCTTTTAATAATAAATAAGCAGCTTAACAAGAAATGACTGTTTCCATTTTCATCTTGTTCCAAATGTAGCACAGCCCTGTGTTTGGGTAAGCAGGCATCTGAATCTGAAAGGCTCCATGAAGAGATTCTGGCCCCTGTCTATATGGCATGGTAAGAGCAGTTTTCTCTTCTCTCCTTTCAATCTTTTTATCTGTAAGATCAAATAAATTACAGAGAGATAGAGATGAGAGAGAGAGGGAGAAAGAGAGAGAGAGAGAGAGAGAGAGAGAGAGAGAGAGAGAGAGAGAGACTCTTACATAAAAGTGCTTGCTAAAAATAATTGCACTAAGAGAAAAATGGACACTTTTGGAGTTATTGTCTGGGATTGTTTTGTTTTGTTTGCTCTGTTTTGGATTTGTTTGTAATTTTACAATCCCCACTCTTAAATCCAGGCTGGCCTGGAACTCACTCTGTAGCTCAGGCTGGTAATTGAATTCATGGCATGCCTCCTGCCTCAGACTCCCAGGTGCTGTGACTGCAGCCTGAAGCACCACATCTGGCTACTCGTTTTTAATTACTGGAATTTTATTGAGTTATCCCTAGACATATTGTAGACTTCCAACATTTTGTTAAGTTCCTGACTGGAGAAAGAATAGACTAATAATTTTCTATATTAAAAAAGAAGTACTCAGACTTTTTATTGCTTTTTGAGACAAGTTCACCATCGAGTTGAGGCTGACCTTAAAACCACCTGTTCTCCTGTCTCAGCCTCCTGAGTGTTGGGGATTACAGGTGTGCACCACCACACCTGCCCTGAGTATACTTTGAAGTTATCCACTAAACCAGATTGCATTAAGGTTAATATTTAACATGTATTTCCTTGCTAAAGACTATTCAAATAATGCAAAAATAAGCAAACAAAAGAATTAAGCCCTCACTCTCAACTGGTTAGTACCAGTCTCTGTCTTTGCTTACCAATGGGCATAAATTCAGACAATTAGTTCCAAGTGGGGAAACGTTGCATTATTCATGACTTTAAGCACAACCTAGGTATCTAAGCCCATGTGTGCAGTGATCAAACTAAATATGAGGCTTCCTTTCCTGACAGACCCTTCATACCAGATCCCTTCACTTCCCTAAATCACCTCACCTACATGTGCAAGAGTTAGCCAAGGAGTTAGCTCTAGAGAGCTTGATACGTACCTAAGCAAAGACTGACCTACTAGAAATAGGAACAGTCATGTTTGAAAGATAGTCCCTGTGGTTACGAGAAAAGAAAGTTTTTCCCAAAATTTGGAGCTAAGGACTGGCTCCAGTCAGAAGAGTTTCACAAATGACACTGAGAACAAACGGATTTCCCCTGGTATTGACCAACAGTTTGTGTTGACACACCGAAGAATGAAGTTCCCAGCAGCAGATGAGTTGGCTGGTAAACCATGGGTACACTGTAGTCTGGCCCCTTAGAGAGCCCACCCAAGTACCTGGGCTTACTGACCAAGGACCTTGAACCTTGCTGAGGCAACAAAGCCCCTAGGTTTCTCTGTGGTTAGCAATTCTCCCCAGTGAACTCTGCTGGAGCATCAAGGTCAGCAATAGGTTAGTGACCTGTACAGCCAGAGGTGGCATGGCGCCATTCATGACTGCCCAACTTCAAAGGCCCTTCAGCCCAGTGGGGATTTCCAGGATCCCTTTCCTATGTGTTCCATGCTGATCTTCCCTGAACCCGGTGCACTCAGAAACACAAACCTTCTGGGGCTCAGTTCCTCCTGCAATCATGTGAAGGCCAAGGCCTCGGGACTGAACAAGGTCATTCACTGTAGAGGAGCCAGAGCGGGAAGAGGAGGTACACGTAAGAGGAATCGCTGCCAGCCCAGAACAGGAGCTGCTAATCACAGAGCCTCCACTCAGGCACCCAAAGGGGACCCGTTCTCTGGCTGTACTGCAGCCCACCTCTCCATCCTGGGGAAGGATGTGGTTAGACTGATAATACTAGAACAATCAGGGAATGGGGGGAGGAGCCAACAGTCTACAAAAAAGAGGGCCCCTATTCCCAGGCCCATCTTCACCCTACAAGAGCCTGCCTCCCTCTACCAGCCCCCACCCAAGGTGGTATATGCACCCAGCACACACCTACAGGCACTTGCTATATGCACGTGTGTGTTGACACACCTTGAACACCCCCCCCACTCACAGTGCACACCCACTGACTCATCACACTCACACCACACACCTACGCTCCCTTCTTCCCCCACTCCCTTCCCTGTAAAGAAAAATCATAAATCTGCCTTCCTGAAAAACGAGTCTGCAGAAGCTAGCCCAGCAACATCCAGTTGCACCTTAGGGTCAACTGGAGAGAGTAGAAGGATATACGCAAAGGCGGAGTCAGGTCTACATCTCCCAGACAAAAGCTCAACATCCAAGCTTACATGAAGTGGAATGAGAGCCCGGATGCCTGAGAAGCAGAGAGGAGAGCAAGCCAGTTCCTCGGACCAAAGCAGAGGGTGTGTTTGCTTAAACCACAGCCAAGTGGGCAAGCAGTCATCTCTGAACCTGACCTGACCACTACCACCCCACAGCTAAGGCTTCTGCTGGACAGTCAGCTCATCCTGATGATTGCTTATTTTCGGTGGTCAAGTTCACTTCATTTTTATAACAAACTGAGCTAAGCCGGGAGCCTCCCACTCTAGGCAAGGAAGGTAGTTCCCAGCTGAGCGTAGTCCCCAGCTGAGCTAACAACTGCAGAGGTGCTGGCTGGCTGCCCTCACTTCCTACTGAGTCAGGTAAGGCCAGTTCCCTCTCTCCAGTCAGAGGCTGAAAGGTGGGGGTGGGGTTATCAACCCTTTATCGGCAGCCTCTGCAGGGTCCTGGGTTCCAAGGAATCCTAGGACAACAAAAGGGGCTTGTTCAATACCTCGAAATTAAAAGAATAATTTTCAAAATGGCAACTTGTTTTCTTTCCTTCAACTCCCCATATCACACCCCTCCCCTTATCTACCTTATCCCCCTCATCCCCCTCATCCCCCCCATCCCTCTCTGTTCCTCATCTCCTTCATCCCCTTTATCCCCTTCATCATCTGCCTCATCCCCCTCATCCCCCTCATCCCCTTCACCCTCCTCACCCTGGTACCAGCCCCCATTCTCTCAGTTCTGGAACTGAGGCTTCATCCTTGAAGGCCTTCTCCCCAGATAATTACAACTTATTCACTCTCTCACTTTGGGAACAGTTAAGAGCAATGGCTCCTTTTTCAGAGGACCCAGGTCTGATTTCCAGCACCCACGTGATGGCTCATAACCATCTATAATTCTAGTTCCGGAGGCTCTGGTGCCCTCTTCTGGCTACTGTGGGTAATAGGTGGGCACATGGTACACAGATACACATACAAGGAAGATACTCACACGTAGGAAATTAATGTGTGTGTGTTTTTTTTTTAATCTTTAAGAACTTTCCTGCTTGCTTCCATCTGCTCTGAAGATGACAAACAGAAGATTCAACATGGCTGCATGTGGTCCAGCGCCACCTTACAGCAGTGGCAGAGTTCCTCAAACCTTACCTCCTCTGTGTACGTTCCTCCCTGCACACAAAGCACTTCTACCTCTCTCCCTCTCCCTCTCCCTCCCCCTCCCCCTCTCCCTCTCCCTCTCCCTCTCTCTCGAAGGTGAGCTTTTACCCCAAAGGCTCCATAGCCCCTGGAACTCTCTTATGTAGCATCCACACATGACTAAATATCGTTATGTATCGTTATGAGCTGACCATACCTACCACAGGTCAAGGCACAAAGAAGATGTTCAAAACTCAATTGACTGACTATAGTCTCACAAGAATGAATGCATACTAGCCCCAGGTGCTTATGGGAGAATCTCTGCTTGGGGAAGAGACAAGAGGAATGGCCTTGCCCTGGAGTCTGTCTGGAATTCCAACACTGACTTCACTAAAGTTCTGCTTCTTGGGGTCACCCACCCCCCTCCATCCTATTGTGGCTTTATAATATACATGACTGTCATCCAGGTGCTTGAGAGAGACCAAAGCCAGGTACCCCTAAGTACCACACGCAATTCTCAGCTAACCAAAGCACGGTGGGATATTCAACCTACTGCTGGTGGGTATTTAATCGCTCGGCCTTCTTTAGATCTATAGCGTTTCTGTGCCCTCCTTCCAGGAATCCCTGCAGTGCAATACCACACAGGATACAGAGCAGAGGGAGGACTCAAAGAAAGGAGTTTAAAAATACCTCAGCTTACAACTTTTTCATCAATATCTAAAATGAAAGAAAAAATACCCATAGACTCTCAAAGAAAAAGAATTCTAAAAAAAGAAAAGTCAGGTGTGGTAACTAACGTTTGTCATCTCAGCATCTAGGAAGCTGGGGTGGGAGAATTCCCATGAGTGTGAGGCCAGCCTGGTCTGCAGAACATGAGGTTCTATCTCAAAGACATTGGAAAGGAAAAGGGAAATTGTTAAGGAAGGTGTAAACTGTATGAGTAATCATGATACCAGAGACAGACAGACAGACATTTTATTTGTGGCTTCATGTTTCAGACAAGCAGGAATTAACTGCATATAAAATTACCAAAGGACCTCAAAGCCTTTCCTTGTAAATTTCCGAACTTTATCCTGGGTACTACATGGCTCTCTCATGAAGTACTGCCATTATGTTACTTCCACTGTAGTTTCTGGAAATTAAGTTCTGGAGACTGTAACGATCTGAACTCGTGTCTCCCAGTGTGTGATGGACAAGGCAAGCAGCAGAAAGACATAACAGCTAGGCATAGCCACCCACGTAACACTTGCCACCTACATACCCTGTGATGTCTGCCACTACCCTCCTCTGGGGAGTCCCTCTGTTTACAAAGCTC